AAGGTTAAAGTGACCAAACCAATCCCCGTAGATGAAAGTTCGCAATGAAATCAGTTTTTAGATTGAAGATCGTCCATAATGATTGAACTGAAATCCGATAGTGTAACCAACTTTAACCATGATGGAAAATTACAGAGCTGACAAAATTGAGAAGCCTTGGATTTTAGGAACTAGACCAAAAGGACTATAAACCTGGAAATTTTATTAATTATTGGAAGTTAGAAGGTGACTCAAATAAAATTTTCAAAACCCGGTTTACACCCAATGGAAATGAGTTGTACAGCAGCCACTATGGGATTTTTATAAAAATCATCACTTGCCCAATGATCCTTAAATTTTTTCGAAGAACAATTAGACCAATAAGACTACGTATAGTAAAATTTTTGGAGCATTTAAAAGATAGCAACTCTATAAACAAAAATTTAAAATTCATTATAACACGTTCAACAAAGCTAGGAGCAGGCACTTTACATAAACTCATTCCATAATGAGCAGCAAACTACTTTTTTTTTTGTTTTTTTTAGCTAGACAATACAAACATAATTTATTCATTCCATTTTACACAAAACATTTTCCCTTCCTATCCCAAACAGGATTATACAATAAGCAAGGTCAAGGAAAATCATGTTAGCACCTCACTATGCTAAGTAACAACATGCTGACATTTACATACTAAGGTCCCTTGTAAGATAAGTTCAACATGTTTCACACAAAAGAGCAAAACCATCTATACACAGAGAGTACAACTCTCAAACCAAAACAAACTATGAACATACATTAACAGCCTAGCATGATTTTTATTTTATAGTAGGACATTTATATACAATCCGAAAACCAGGCAAAACCCTTAGAAGAGTGCATGTTATCATCTTCAATTTAGTACAGCAACCCCAGCTTTATGCAAAATACATCCAGCACTAAATAAATTCAAAGTTCATAGCTAGCATCCTTAAGTCCACCATCTCAGGTGACAACCCCTGAAAAATGTTAGGAGTGAGCAAAGCCTAGTAGGAAAAATATAATAAATGCTTCTATAAGGTTTTGTGCATTTGATTTGAAAAAGTATTAGGGTAAAACTGTACCAAGACATTAACAGAGTAATGAGAACATTTCAATGCAAAGGAAGTCAATTCTTTAATTTATCAAAATTCTGAAACTGAACAAAAAAAAAAAATAGAGCTAAATTAGAAACCTTTCCATTAGGAAACTCAAATACGATTTTTATTATTGGGACATTTTATCAATTATCCTTAGAACAGACCAGAGTGTTTCGCTACTGTCCACTCCCCCTTCGAATCAGGGCGAAACTAACTCCAAACCCCCATTGTCATGGTCCCTACATGGGTAGCGGGACTTGCACCCGCAGGTAACTCATACCCCTTTCAGCCGGGACATTACCCTCCAAGCCCCCAAATTCAAGTGTTAAGATTGTCCCAAGAAGCATTTTAAGTACCAAAACATGATATAGAAAATTTATAATTCAACCCAAGACTTTGTTTTTCAAAAGGTTCAGCATTGTATATCTATTAAACAAAATTTATGGACTCTATTTTTTTCAGAAAACATCAAATAGTGGAACCCTTCTCTTAGGTTTCTAGAGCAACCTTGGGAAATCAAGTTTAACCACTAATGTATGATGAAAAATTCAATTATAGCAATCATTCCCAACTTTTGAACCAGATAGATACTTGAATCTCAAATAATATGCTTTGTCAACATGAAATTGAAACAATCAAGTCATAACAAGATATAAAACATCTTCTAAAATAACATTCAATGTATGAAAGAAAAATTAACAAAGAAACGAATTTAATTAAAATCTCTCAAAGCAGCAAGTATTAGAATAATCCCCACCAATGGCAAAAGAAGAATAGGTGGTGATAAAGAGTTCCTATAGCCCCCTCATTCAATTTTCCTCCTCGATCTTTCTCATTTCTTCTATTTCTCCTTCTATCTCTCTCTCTAGATCCGGCCAGTACCCTCTCATTCTAACTCTCTATTCTCTCTTTCTAATTATTATTATTATTATTATTATTATTTTTATTTTTATTATTATTATTATTATTTTTTTTTAACTTGTTGTAAGCAGAGAAATATAAAAATAAATGGTGCTTTAAAGTTTTGGTGTCAACCTTGTACACATAGGTTTCCTAAGCATGCAAATAGTGTGGACACCTGCATTCCACTAAACTATTTGTCGACAACTATGTTCCACTAAGACTAAAACTATTCTATATAATGATAATTATGCATAACTTAACCAGGTAATCCCTCATTTGTTCCTTAAGTTGACACTACATTTTTACTTAATAGCAAAATGGCACCACATAAGTACGTACAAAAATAATAATAATGATATAAATAGCAAGTAGGATGAACAAAAGAATGCAGCTCATAAAACATATAAAAATATCTACATAAAATATATTTAAAAGTAAGGCAATTAAATCCTTTTAAGCTTAAAGGGCCTAATTAAATTATAGGGTGTTACAATGTCCTATGAATGTGGGGTTGATTATGTGAATGGTTATATGCTAGTTGTTTTCAAATTCTGCAAGCATGATGTTGTCATAATGTGTAAGATTTCAATGTTGACATGGCATGAAAAGCATGGATCATTCATGCATTATCATTGGGCAAGATATAGGGAAATTGTTTTGTAAAGAAAGGAAAATGGTTTTGGGAAAAGTTTTGATAAAAGGTTTGCAAAAACCTGGTCGCCTAGGAGTTACCTAGGATCCGTGGCGTTAATGGAACCTATGGAGAACTAGGGACACTACTCTAGCGTGGTTTAGTTACCTATGCCCCAAATGACATCATGGAGTTGCCATGGGTTAGGGACAGTTAGCCAATCCTTCTCTCGTGGCACTATGGAGTTGCCATGGGCCAGGTTACATTAACAATTTGGAAATGATGACTTGAAATGGTTTTGGAAATGGGGATTGATATTGCATTCTATAGCACGGCATGGCTTGTCTATGGTTTTAGATTATGGTTGTTGATGTTGATTGTTCTCTTCTCCATAATGGCATGATCCCGTTTTCTTTTCTTCTATTCATTATGTGGATTCACAGGATCAGAAGAGGTATGTCTTAGGCACTTCCTATTAAGCGGCTGGCTCACCCCTTTCAGGATATGGAAAAGAGGTGGTGGACGACAATCTACCACAGCCTTAACTTGGATTAGAAAACTGTTCCTTTTGTTATCTTTTGCATTTAAGCCTCATTTTGTAAAGAATTAACACAATATGTATTATTTTGTAATAACTAGAACGAACTTGTACTATTTGGAAATGGTCACTACAGTAGAGTGACTATTCTTTTGGATATATATTTTGACAGTATTTGGGGATTTAATTAAATATGATTATACTAAATCTTTTTTTTATTTTTTTATTTTTTTTGTGTATTGTATGGAACGTGTTTGTGAATTTCCTAAAAATCAGGTTAACAATGTTATTGTTATATTGGGTGATATCACATAAATGTAGAAATGAATATAAATATGTATACGTGTAATGGTGGTAGTGGGTGGTTTGTTACGAATGTGAAGTGACTAAAGAAACAGAAAATAACCCAAACCAGTCGACGTGAATTCCTCACACGTCAACCGAATGACTTGAATCCGTCAACGTAAAATTTCCACATTCACTCAACCAGTCGACATGTAAGTGTTACACGTCAACCGGTTCCTGTGTAGTATATCTTTATGGTTTATTTTCCATCTTTGCTCTTTTCCACCCACTCAAGTTCACTGTTTCACAATATATGACCCAGTACAACACGTTAATTACATTTTAACCACGAAAATGGTTGTATTACTCCCAGACTTCATCCTATTCATTGTATAACATGAGTGAATTACTATTGTACCCTTTGAGCCTTAAACAAGTATAATTATGATGAAAGACCGTTTTGTCCTCGTTGGACTTTAAAGTTGAATTTTAAAGTAAAAGGACCGTGTTACCCTTGGATGATTTTGGGTCGGCCAAGGACCCGGTTAATGATCCGGATCTAGTGGATTTGGGTCGTTACAGGAAACGTGTGTGTGTGTGTGTGTGTGTGTATATATATATATATATATATATATATATATATATATATATATATATGATTATAACATTCACAATTCTGGTCTTTGACTGTTTGATTCATCGCCTATTCGCCTCTGATTCGTGGTTCCGGTCACTGGGTCACATACTTTTCAGATCTTCCGGTCTTTGATTCATGATCTTGTAGTGACTAGGGAGTCAGCAATAGTGGCAGTCATGGCTTCATCATCTTCCTCAGTCAAGGTAATTTTTCTTTTTCTTTTTCCTATTATCTTTTTCATTTTTCCTTTTCCTTTTCTACTAAAAAATTTCTTTATTTATTTAACTCATCTAAAATTTTACTATTATTTTTTTTTTATTATCTTTTTCATTTTTCCTTTTCCTTTTCTACTAAAAAAATTATTTATTTATATTAACTCGTCTAAAATTTTTATCTAAAATTTTCCTATTATCTTTTTTTCTGTGGAACCAAACTAGTGTTCGGTTCGGTTCCATAAACAACGATTCCGGTACTATTTTTAAGAGACCGTTGAAACCGGTTCCGGAACCTTACCGGACTGCACCGTGTGCATTCCTATGTATTATAGAGATTAGATTAGTTTGATACAAATGATATGTTAACCAAATAACCTAAGTAACCAATGCTATTTAAGGCTATTTTTTGAAAGTTAGATCCAAAAAAATGATTAAAGTGGGAAATAGAAATTACCTTGATATTAAGATTTTAGGACATTTGCCACAAGTGTAATAATAATACCATCACAAGCATACATCCCTTCCCCCCACCCTCCTTCCTTTCCTTCCTAGAAGGAAACAGAAAAACTCTCTCTGCAAAAGGAGTAACTTCTTTACAAGTTCATTTCATTACTAAAATATTTATAATACTATATCACAAACTTGTTAAAACTAGAATAACATTCTCAAGATTAATATCCAACAATTATATCAATTAAGTCCAAATAATTTTTGGAGACATATCCTTCTATTTCACTGCAATTTAACTGAAACAAAAAAGCATCTCAACTCCCATAATAGCCTAAGAAATGGTTTTAAAAGGGTGACAATTTACAAAACATTCCCAGAATGGCAAAATAAAGTTGTAGACTGAGTAGTCCACTAATTTTCTTCCCTCCAAGTTAAAAAACTGCCATAACTTCATCTAAAATCCAAGGCTTTTTGACTGAACCAACCAGCATTCGTCGGGCTTAATCCCACTCTCTAGCTTTACCAAACGATCATATTCCAAATAGTAAGCAAAATAACCAAATTCAGACCCCGCTTTCCTGAAGATTATAATGCTACCATTTTTAAAGAAAGTAAGGGGAACAGGATGAGTTTTACACAGAGATATCTTTGCAGACAAATAGCTTAAGCTTCTTATAGATTGTAGTTTCTCCCATATTGCTCTATGAAAATCCTTCAAAATCCACATGTCCACTTGGGTTGCAGAAATTGGATGTAGAAGACATAATAGGCCATCCCTCTCTACGAATTCATACGAGGTGCTCAATGAAGAATTACCATTACCAAATTCTGGAAGATGCGTCTCTTGAAACCTCTCTTTAATTATATCCATGGAGAGTATGTACTCAGCAGAATTAACATCCCAATGAAGAAACCTCCCTTCAACAGAAACAGGGTCAGACCAGTAATACTTCCTCTCCCCTATCTGAGCAGGTCCGTCGATTTTTTTCCACTTTGAGTGATTGAAAGACAACGAGTTGCGTTCTGAAACAAGTATCTCGCATAGAACCAACTCGTCTGTGATTACTACATGCAATACCTTGTATACTCTCTTGAATTTATCAAATGTAAGAACTAGCCCGCACTTCAATCTAAAATGTCCTCCACAGTCGCCTGAGCCTAAACATTGTGGAAGATGAAACCCTTCCTTGGTGATAAGATTGAAAATATAGAGTGCCCCAAATTCAGATGTGTCTGCTATCAAAAGCAATTCATTACACCAAGACCTAATACGTCCTCTACAAGGTATGTCAATAACTTGTTCATACATCTCCAACTTGAATTCCTTGAGTCTGACTTCACTGATATCCAGAAGACGCGTTTCGTATAGATGTTTCCCATGGGATGGCTTTTGGACGATTAAAGAAGCCTGGTCGAACAAGATCCAGTTGGTGATTAGATTGAACCATCGCCTGCAAACATACTTATATTTGTACCGGAGTAATTCAGCTGGAAGCAAATTCAGAATCTTCAAAAGAATGTTATAAGGAATATCTGAAAAACAATCAACTGTATTATCCTTTATAATCCTTTTTTGCTCACATATTTCCTTGCTCTTTCTCATTGTCACGTCTTCTGTAACCTGTTCCTAATGAAGCAAAATTTTCTGTTAAGAGAATAAAAATAAGAAAACGGACATCTAAATATGTTAGGGGTGTGTGTGTATCCACTTCTTGAAATAACGAAAAACACAAATTCTATTTCACAAATCATACAAAATGGCTGTAACAACAAGTGCTGAAGAACTCTATCTCCAAACCATTGCTTGTAGATTTCCACTAAACAAACAGACTGCCTAAGAGCACCCACATGTTAAGTAAAAGAAGAAACAGAGAGTTTGCTTAAGAATAAAAAACGGTAACTAAGATCACAGCCTTTGTTCTGGTCAAGAAGCATGAACTCAATCATTATTGGCCTCCTTTTATGCATACCAAGTAGCAGGCCTTGAGACTATCTGTGTCAAAAATCATCTTAGTTCTATGAGTTCATCATAACATCCTGAGCTTGGTTCTAAAAAATATTTCAAGACGCTTTCTTGAATGCTTGTCTAGTATTAAAGCTCAAATTGGGTGTCAATGTGTCAACTAATATAAGATGTGAAGGGTATCTTTCTCCGGATTGAACTGAGTACCTACAAAGATTGATTGAGTTGTATGTGAGGATCTAAGAGGTGTTTCTTTTTGTTGATTTGGTCACCCCATTGTTTATTTTTGCCAATGCCATGCCTTTTCTTTACCAAATAAAGATCAAATTTAACTTTAAAAACTATAAAGAACGTTTTTTATGTAAAGAAAGCTACGCCTAATTTACACTTTACCACCATACTCATCATCCATAAATCACAATGAGAATAGAGATTCTCAAAAGTTACTGTCAAGACCAATATCAAATATCCATTCATCTTTTGTTGTAGTGGTTTATTGTGCATAATATGAAACAAAAGGTGTTGGCATAAATGTATTTTATCAAATATGACTCATCCATGTATTGTTCTACTTGAGAAAAATATTTCTAATTTCTAAACAAGTAATTAATAATTATAACATTACTATGGGGAAAAGAAAACCATAACCCACTATTGGTTGAAAAATTTTTGAACTATGTTGGACCAAATTTCAGAACATTATACAATATATGAAATCAAAAGTAAATTGAACAACTCTTAACATGATGCAAAAATATCCAAACAACATATGTGTACATATATGCATATGAATAGAGGAGGAATGCGAGTAAAGGCAACGAATTTGACAACAGCAGTGAATGGTCCTGCTTCTTGAACACTAAAACTGAAAATAAAATTAAAAACAAAAAATAAAATATCCGCGAATTTGACAACAGTGAATGGTCCTGCTTCTGGAACACAAAAACTGAAAAGAAAATTAAGAACAAAAAATAAAATATAATAAAAATTAAGAGTCAAATCCAGTTGAGCATATCAGGTGGAAACCCTAGAAAAAGGAAAGATTGAACAAGAAATTATTTCAATATTTTGACGCCAATTTCAGTAAGTAGGTGAATCATTCAACTTCATGCTTGATGAATCACAAGATAAACACAATATAAACACATGATCTAACAAATATAAAGAAGCAAATTGAAACATTAAAAACAATCCCGACACCAAATTCAGAGCAAAAATTCAAGATATATGAATTTAGAGTGTTACCCTTTGTGGGGATGATTTGTTGGTGGTTATTGGGTTGAAGTGAGAGAAAAGTGATATATAGATGGTAGAGGAGGTGAGAGAAAGCAAAAACCTGGAGGTGAGAGAAGGTGGCGGAGGAGCTTCTTCTACTCGCTGGCGGAGAGCTTGCAGTGGACGAAGAGTCCGTGGGAGAGTAGAAATAGAATAAGAAGAGTGTTAAGAGTTCTACCAATATTAGGAGAGGGGAGGAGATAAATTACTCCGTCATATACATTAGTAGTCCCTCTATTTTATATATATATATATATATATATATATATATATATTGAATTTTAAAAAATAATAAAAATAATGACATGATTGGCTAATTTTAGAAATCAACGATAAATTATTACATAGGCCGTTCCCTATAGTATTATGAATCTGTTTGGATTTTCTCCAATTATTTCTCTCTCAACGAAATATATATATATATTTATATACAGATTGAAAATATGCTTATATCATCATTTGTATAAGATGAAGATGAGGTTTTTTTTGTATTTATATATAGATTTGAAAATACTAAAGAGTAGAAAACAACAATAATAGATCTTAAAAATGTAAAATATGAATATTGTGGGGCAAGTCAATACATTTTTTTATTTTCCTATATGAAAAAGTATTGTTGTATATAAATATTAACTTATGACAGCTATATCAAATTTTATTTACTATATGGAATTTTTATGTTATAAAGAATGTATGTTTTTTCAGGAATTTTTTTTTTTTAATAAAGAATGTAATTATAGTCATCTTTGTTATAAATATGCATTCATGGAATCATGCTTACTGCTTAATATAATTATTTTGCAACGTTTTCTAAATGATCAAAATTTATTTTTATTTTTATTTTTATTTTTATTTTTATAAATTTTCATACAAACATTTAATTTGAAAATACTATGTTATTATTGTTTTGCTCCTTTGTTTTTATTAATTAAGTCAAATTATCAATCTTTTAATACCTTTACAATAATGAATAGAAATTGTCTCAACTCGTCCCCAACCCGTATAGATATTTGTTCACTTTCTGGTGCTCACCGTTTCTGCTCAAAACAAGCTAACATAAGAGTGTCCACGTGTATAAATCTAAGTAACTTCAACATGTCATGCAAGACATCACAGAAATAGTTATCCCTGAAAATATAGATAGCCATACTACTTGGAATATCCTCATACAGATTTGTCAACATAATTAGCATAACAACCCGAACTTAGACAAATGAGATACGTAAATACAACATCAAATTTAAGCCCATTTGGACAACAAATGAACGTTCCTATAGAACACTAATTAATACAATTAATGAAACCAATAACCAAATTGTTGATAAATGCTGTACTATATACAATGAAATACACAGGAAAAGGCACAATAGCTGGAATAAGACTAGTTTGTCTCCCTCCCTTCTCTCTTGGTGGGAGAAACCCTTTACGACCGACCGACCAATCGATGAGTGAAATCCGGGGAAGCCACCTCAAGCAATGCAGACGACTTCTCAGGGACGTCGTGCTCAATACAAGTCCTTCAATATACATGAAGCACAACACAGTGGTTTCACCTCAGAAACTTGATCTATTGTGGTAATCTTGTTCCCCAGCTAAATTTTGTTTTAGTAGTTTTGTGCGTTCAACTCGATGCTCTACGTTGTAATAGATAGGATTCGGAATCTTGAATACACGCTTTCCTAAACAGGGGCCTGTCAATGCATCCATCTGGCTGCTCAATACAAGTCCTTCATTATACATGAAGCACAACACAGTGGTTTCACCTCAGAAACTTGATCTATTGTGGTAATCTTGTTCCCCGGCTAAATTTTGTTTTAGTAGTTTTGTGCGTTCAACTCGATGCTCTACGTTGTAATAGATAGGATTCGGAATCTTGAATACACGCTTTCCTAAACAGGGGCCTGTCAATGCATCCATCTGGCTGCTGAAAACAGTCATGACACGGAAACCCTCTTTCTGGAGTTCAGTTCTTCGTCTTGAAAAGTATTCGAAGGTATCCATTTGCATTTCATCATCCACTCTGCAAACAGTGACAGCCATCACAACCAAATGGATATGAAATTCAAGAGTAAACGAACAACTTCAAGCTATTGGTGCACTTAAAAGAGAAGGAGAACAAAGAAAAAGAAACAGAAAAGAATAAAAGAATGCATCAAAGCAAAGAATTAAGGAAAGAACTAAATGCCAAATGCCATATAGCAAGACGGAACTTAAAGTCATTAACAAAAAGTTAAAATCAGTTTATCCAACACATCAAACCTAAAAAAGAAAACCCACAACCCACAAACAACCTAAGATATATTCTTGGCACATGCTATTGTCAAAGAAAATCACATTCTTCAATAATTAGGTACCCTAATATAAAGGGTATCCTGGGAAGAGTAGTATTCTCATTCCCATGGGTACCAAAGGTTAAGTATGAAAGGAGGTCCAACAGTATCAATTGTTGAGCCCATTAGTATGTCGCAAGCTATTAGAATATCAGTTATGCTATAGCACAAAAAAACATAAATGCAACTTAATAATATTAGTTTTGTAGCAATATTTATGAAAATAATTACAAACTTGAAAGTAAAGTAGTTACAGTCATTATGAATTAACTAAAATTACTATCTTATGTTCTACATTAAAATTAAGTAATATAAAATTAATCAATAGATGAAAAAACCAATTCAGAAATCAAATTGTTTAAAATAAAAATGTATAAATACTTGTTTAAGGAATTCAAATAAATAGTTGCTCATCAATATTAATGTCATTGATCTCGCTAGTTTCACACAAGTGGTATTTTGGTCAACCAAATAACCTTAAGTAACCAATTCAATTTAAGGCTATTTTTGAAAGTTTGATCCAAAAAACGATTATAGCAAATCATATTCCCAAAGATCTCCTAACAATAGAAAGGGATATTTGATTACCAAGTATTCATGCGTATCTCTTACTTAGGGGCATGGGATGAGGAATCTTGGACTCTAATTCTTGACAGCCAAATGCACCCACAGGAACATGCACATTTCAATCCGAGAGATGTTATGATTACAAAGAACTCCTACTTTCTAGCATCTTCTAAATTCTTGATTGAAAAAGATCATATATGTTCAAGAACCCATATAATGAAGTACAGCATCTCCAAGAAAATTGAAGGTCTAATTAGATATAGAAGTCCAGCAGGTATAAGCAAAAGTTTTATAAATATTAAAGTATCTTAATGTGCAGGGCTAAGAAGAGGAAGACCTTTAACCAACTTTCTACATCTTGTCAGTCGATTATTCATTATAGTGATCAGAATAATTAATGCAAAGACAATACCTCATAATCAATGAAGACCAATTCACATATCCAGATGAAACAAGGTACTTTATGGTGACATTACGTTGTCTCTCGGGCTCTCTTGATATCAAAATTAACGGCCACCCAGCAGCTTGAAGTTTCATGTACAGCTTCAGGATAAACATGAGCTTCAGATGTAGTGCCTCTTCAAAACAATCACTACAACCATATTGATTGAGTCTGTACCAAAATAGACATACAAACCTTCTTTAACTGATATGTAATGATTCGAGGCATGTCTTCATAATATCTAATGAAATTAAATGTGATTGCCCCAATGAAAAACAGGTAACATATCAAGTTTAGAAAGTGAAGCATAAGAAAGTGAATTCACAAAAAAGAAGCATTTTAAATATGCATAAACCCAGTACTTCTCCCTATTGAAGGGATAGCAGCAGTACAATTTTCAATATAATTGGGCCTAAAAAAACAGATAACCATGACGCGTGCATCATGGATATATAAAGCACTTTAAATTATATATAGATATGAACATACATATAACGCAGACAAGTATATGCATACATATAGTCGTCCTCTTCTTGTATTTATATCCTGGTTTCAGTGAATTTTCCTTACCACCATATTAATATCATACCATATCTGTATTCAATATTTATGTTCATGCTGCATAGAAAATCATTACGATGACTGGTAGCTTGTGATTTTTAGTTTTGAGATGGGAATGATGATCAGAAAATACAGCAGCTAGCACACCAAGGATACAGGGAAACAATTCTTGCTATTATTTTTAAATTCGCAGGATATACTTTTATTTAGAAGAACCTAGTTGCAAGATCAAGTAGCAGAAATAGAACATATGAACAACAGATAATTCTTTACGATGTTTCAAACCATTTGCAGTGGAAGCATTATCGAAACAACATGCAGTCCTACTTTAGGAAAATCATGAACTCTACTTGACCTGGAATTTTTGGAAACATTCTTATAGATGGAAATTTTCATATGTTTAGCAGCTTCTAGTTAAGCCAGAGTTCTAATTCAAATATATGACATTCTGAGAATTGATGATGACCATGCAATTGTCAACATAATGACTGCTTATATATTAAAGATCAGAAGGAAATTACCGTGGCTGCAATGGTTCGGAATATTGAGACTTTGAAGGAAAGAAGTCATCCACATCCATCAACACCATATCTAGGCCGTCGTCTAGTGGTCTGACCCCACTAAAGTAATTTTCAACCAGCCACATTGTACTATTTAAATCTCTTGTATATTCCCCTTCTTTTATGTACCGAATGGCAGCAGCCTTGCACAAAGCAGGGTGATAATCTGCATCCAATCTGTTGAGCTCCGCGTGCAGAGAAAAACTCTTGCAAAAATGGTAATCATCATTTGATTTCCAAATCTCAATATTTCCCGAATTCTTACTCTGACAGGATTGCAGCATTACTGTTAAGGTAACTAGCAAAGTAATTAATAAAACCGCAGCTGTTACAAGCGCAGCAATGAAGATTGTTGCAGCCCACGATGACATATAAAACCCTGACTCCACGATATAACGGCTTCCCATTTCTGCAATTAGGCAAAACAAACAACATAACTGCTCATGAAGATAGAACCAAAAATATTAATATAAAGTATTGTACCTAACTGTAGAATAGATAACTTATTCAGGTAAACCAAACACATACAGTAGACATCTTAGAGAAAAGAAATGCACTACCATTACATTCAAATTCATGCCGAAAATTCTCTTTAAACTTCTTATATGATTTTGGTTTTAGTGAGTAGGATCTCGATTCAAAGTCATTGGATACCCGTAAACCATCAATCATATTTGATCTCCCGATTGGAGTTAATTATTGTTTCTCATCATATATCATTTTAACCCAGCAGCATTCATTCTCAACAGAACATGAAAAGTTAAGATTGCAATGCCTACCAGAACCAGCTCTACTTGAAAGACTCTGGGTGGAGTATTGCCGCTCCATTTGATGGCCATATGCAGACATTGTAAACAGCCCTATCAGCCAAATAACAGTTCAACTAGAACACCAAAAATAAATCTATAAAATCCCTCGCAGAAGATAGAAGAGCCACCTGCACCAACAAAAGTCCAGTCATTCACACAACACCCTCATCATACTATCAACAATTGTAAAAAGTACAAGAGGCGCCAAAGGACGTTTGGCCTAGCGGTATAACCTCCCCATCCTGGAGGGGAGGCCGCCCAAAAGGGGGTGTGATCGCTTTACACATTGGAAAAAAAAAAAAAAAAAAAGTACAGAGGCACAATTAGAACTTACAAGAATTTTCATTAGCATGCCATCAGCTATCAACTTCACTTCTCAATTTCTTTGCCTATCACATGTACCGAAAAAAAAATATATATATATACAAGTCATTTCAAAGAATCCGATTTTGATGACTAAGATGATAAAAAACAGTTCTATTGGTCAAATTATACTCCAATTTAGGACCATCTGATTGTTCTCTTCATTAGAATAATATAAGCGCTTCAGAAGATTGTCAACTCATCAGACAATTGCATACAGAGATTCAGCAACAGTTATTCCAAGAGTCTTCAAAATTCTCTATAATCATCTAAAAGCATAACCACAAATTATTCCAATAGTTTTCTAAATCAGCTCGACCATTCACGTAATAAGTTTAATACACAGTGAAGTTAGTCAAATCTAGTTTTTTCGTTCTCCAACTCGTAAAATTCAGATCAAACAAAGGTTGTTTATATATATATATATATATATATATATAGAGAGAGAGAGAGAGAGAGAGAGAGAGAGAGAGAGTGAGAGTGTGTTACCGAAGAGCGAGATTGAAGAGAGTGTGGTTGTTGAAAGAGGCCGAGCGGAAATCGGAATTGGGGGAAAAGGTGCCTCTGTGAAGAAGCTTCGCCATTATCCGGATCGCTACAAGTAGTTGCGTAGAGGGCTCTTCATTTTCTAATATCGTATCGCTGGAAGGTGCTTCTGGGAATTGAGGGACTGATTCGTCTTTTACTAATAAAAGCCAAATTATTAGAGTAAATCAAGGTGTTCGGGAAAAAGGCAGAGAAAAGTCAAAGTTGAGTTGGACAATTCAACCCAATGCTTTTTTATTTAATTTCTCTTTTTTCTTTTTTTTTTTAATTCGTTAGGACACGATACAATGTATCAGTCCCATAAGTTCCGTAACAAATATACGCAAGATCTTAATGCAACTCAGTATCATTTGACAAAGAAATAAATATCATGACTGATTTTCGTGATATATGATATGAATGATATGATTTGCCATAAAATATAATTTAAAATCAAATATTTAAAACAGAAAATAAAAGAAGGAATAGAAACTCAGCACAATTTAAGGAGAGAAAAAGGGGAAGTGAGAGAAACGCAGAATCAAGGAGAAAAATTAAGAGCATTTTAAGGCATACCAATTATATACTTAAATTTCTATTCTTAAAATTTTATCAATATATATATAAGTGAGGACCGATAATTGTGTGTGAGGACACATAATTTGTTGCAGAGATTCGGAATCTTCATGGGATTCAATTAGTGTTTTTTCGGGTAGGGAATCAATTAGTATTCATATGCCCTAATTGAATGCTTTCTACAGAGTAGATTTTTTTATTTTTTTAGTATTTATTTAGGAATGTGTGAGACGGAAAGGTATTTTGATGAGGGAGAAAGTGACATGGTATGTAAAGACGTTATCGTATTATCATTCATGATACAAATATTGAATTTTTTTTTCATGATATGTACTACTGTTTTTATTTGATTTGATAAGTTATTCAAATAAGTGAAATGAGAATAATGAGTTAATATGTAAGTTAATAATTTAAATTTTTGAGTTAGAAGGTAAAAAAGTAGATAAAGGAGTTTATTGAAAAAATGCTACAAATTTAGAGAGATTTGCTGTACTTTGTCCTATTATTAAAATAAGAAGAGTTATGTCGTATACGTCGTATCTTTAGTTCAAAAGTATCCGAATACAAATAAGATAGAGTGGCCCGAAAAATAAACTTTTGCTCAAAAAAATTTAATTTGATTTAACCTTTTTGTTTTTTTATGCAGATGGAGCTAACAGACTGGACCTAGTTGTTATTTTTTCCAAAACTATTTTGACCAAACCTATGCTGAAAAGTGAAAACATCAGGAGATACACTTCAAACAATCAAGTATAGCTAATAAATTTGTCTTATACCTTCCAAGTATAACTTATATTGTTAGGATATATGTGCTTTTCTATAGCTTATATATACTTAATTCAAAAGGTATATTTGTAGATTTTACACTTCAAATTTTCATTTACTTATACTTCATACTTTATGCTGCTCAGATACATATTTTATATCAATTAATTTACTTTGTAAATTGTAAACTTGGAAAACATTGTAAATACATGTAGTTTTCAATAAATACGAATGGGTATATAAAACAAAATCAATCAGCCCGATTTAGAAATTAAAACATATTGGGCCTGGCCATTAGGTGGCTGGCTCATAGATCGGCAGGGCTCTATCAAAGTAGATTGGGCCCAGGCCCAGCCGGAATTGCCGGGAGGCTATCAAACCCTTTTTGAGAATATATATATATATATTTATATTACCAAGCAAGATGCTATATTGACAAGTCCCCTAGAATTGGGATACAATCATAAACACGTTCAATCTCTGCACTAATTTCGCATTGCTTTCGCAGGACACTCACTTGACCTGGCCTTTTCAATTACATTGACATTCCAACAACACAACTTGGAATTCAATTCTATTCTATGAGATAAGAAATGAATATTCCATTTCACTCATAAACTCTCTCTCTCTCTCTCTCTCTCTCTCTCTCTCTCGCACGCACACACACACACACACACACACATGTATGTATATATGAAATTGATAGATACACCACACAAATTGAAGGTCTCACTCACATGTTCTGTTGATCTTATCACAGAATTGATTTCGCTTTGACCTGCCTAAAATAGAATAGATGCAGCATAAACAATAGAATGGCTTCATTACCTATTAATTAAATTGTTTCAAAAGCTCAATAATTCCTCCATAATTCTATGATTTTGTCTCACAATTTAATAATAAATAAATAAATAATAAATAAAAGCATATCAAAAGAGTCTAAGAGTTCACCTGAATTGAACTTGGATGACAATGAATAGACACAAGGCAACTGAAACTACAAAGCATGATACTGTATATAGTTACATTTGGAATACTTGCAGAATGAAAGTGGTTTACAAAAACTTCAGCCTCAGGTTTCATCCGCAGATATTAGGCATAGTAATATTACAAGCAATCTTTTCTCCGACGTCAATTACAGAAAAACTCTCATGTATTATACAAACTTTGCAAAGAAATTTGACCCCCTCAAAAAGTTTGCATTATCTTGCAATCATTTTTTTATGATTAGCTAGTACCTTGTCAAAACCTTTTAATAAATTACAGGAGGGTTTATTTTTTGCAATTAACCCTTTCTCAGATCATGTATGTGTTCTCTCTTTGCTAGATAAAGCAACATCTCAAAACTACTTATGTCTCACACATTACCTATTCATATCAATTCGCAAAGAAGAACACAGGTAAGAAATTTTGATATGACCATACCAAATCACAACGAACTAAATGGGAACTCTTCTAACTCTCAGTGTCTAAGACCTTAACCCCGTTCACCAAATTCACGGCCATATCTACGTTCCTAGCTAATTCCACTGCTGCTCCAACATAGGTATGGGGTGTCAACTTCAAGAGATTTGTTTTTGCTTCTGCAGGCACTTCCAAACCTTCAATAAACTGGGCCATGCTTTCTTTAGTAACTGTTCTTCCTCTAGTTAGTTCCTTTAGTTTCTCATAAGGCTCTGGAACACCGTATCTTCGCATCACCTGAATACGTAAAAGCAAATTTTTGTTTAGAAACAACCACCAATGCCCAAAACGAAAAATAAGGATAATATGTGGCAAACATAAGAATTCTCCCCAGAAACGTTGAAAGCATATAATTCCAAATGAAGCTATCAGGTAAATGAAACCCTCACAAATTATCTTGTTGCGGATTACTGTCAGGCAATAGATAAATATCTTAAAATTTCAGGGTTTTCTCTACTCTTTCCATAAAAATCACCTGTGTAGGCAGGCCAACACTAATGTTCTTTATTGGAATAGAACATAGGGGTACTTCTGTTTCAGATTTACCACAACTGAAATTATTCATATATAAATGTAAACCCATAAACTTAGACAAGTAAAATATTTAAGTATGATTTATAGTAGCTATACCACCCATCTATCCACTTAAGTTATTTGTCAACACTTGGTCATCCAAGGCAAATCACATGCGTAGGCCAAGCTAATTAGCCATAGTTTAATTTATTACAATCAAATGCTTATCGTATGTCTAGTTCTAGGGCTGCAAGTTGGGCTGGCCCAACCCAGCCCAGCCCCAACCCAACCTCAACCAGAATCGGGTTGGGTTCGGCCATCCCGAATTGTACCCAACATGAGTTGGGGTCATAACCCAGACCGAATATTTTCGGATGGGTTCGGTCGGGTTGATTTTTTTTTATATAATTTTTTTTTTTCGAAAATTTATATATATTATATATTACATATATATGTATATTATATATATTTGATTATATTATTATTACCCCCCTCCCTCTCTCTGTGCGCAACTGTAAACTACAAAATCTACTAGAATCAGAAGTTCAAAACCCATATATTTCAATTAATTTATCTGTCTGGAAGAATCAAAAGTTCAAAACCTATTAGCTATATCAAAACCCATATTGGCATATGATTTCAGATTGTTCAAAAAATCAAAACCCATATCTTTTAGTTTCCATCGCCCGCTGTTCCAGTTCGAGTTCGCCGTTCGCAAGCTTTAGCCTCTTTCTCTCAACTCTCAAGCTCCCCCCCCCCCCCCCCCCCCCCCCTTCTCTCTCTCTCTCTCTCTCTGTGCAACTGCTAACTTGTATGTATGGGTTTTGTTTTAATTTTTGGAAGTGAAGACAGCGGCGGCGGTCGATCTGAGGGCGGGGGATGGCAATGGCGGCAATAGAGAGAGAAAGAGAAAGAAGAGAGAGGAGAGAGAAAGGAGAAAAAAAAAAAAAAAAAAATCATTTTGGGTTTTGGGTTGGGTTTGGGTTGAGCCCGAGCCCAACCCAAATATGTCTGGGTTTTGACAAAACCCAACCCGAACATGAACCCAATTTGTGAATTTTAAGCCCCAATTTTAAAATTTCTAGGTTGGGGTTGGGCTGGGCTGGGTTAGCCCGCCCAAGTTGCAGCCCTAGCTAGTTCCCACACAATTCAAATTCAAAGTGTCAATGCTAAATCAACTATAATGTGATTTTACCAATAACCGGAAAGGAAAAAATAAAAAATAAACTCACACATGTGACCTGTACCCAAAAAGGGAAAAATGTAAATAAAAACAACCATAATGCAATTTAGTGAATATCACATAGACAAAAGAAAACATTTAAAAAAGAAAAAACAGCAGTAGAAAAAGGCAACATTTGTGGAATCTGTCCAACTGAGTACACAAGAAGATCAAAGGCTAACCCCATTTCTCAGGTAAGTCATCCTAAGAAAACAAGACTCAGATCAACAATTAAAATTCATCAAATGATGGTTTAAATGTATCCAATTATATCAGAGGAGATGAACACAATTTTGTTGAATCTTCACATTGAAAAAATAAAAAATATATATATAAAAAAAAAAAAAGCATGAAAGAAACAAAGATGCATCACAAGAATCCAAGGTCTCTCGTCTTTTGATGCTACTCACCTGGCTCCGAAAATTCTAACTCTGGCCTAGGTTTGGGGTATGAGAAAGAATCTGGAATGGTGAGATTAGCATGTGTTTACAAAATGTCAACAAGCCCTAAAATGGCTCACAACAGTGACTGGTACGAAATAAGGGCCCATTTGGACCACTTTCTTGCAAACTGATGCCTAAAGCCAAAACGAAAGGGGATTAATATCTAAAGGATGGCCCCATTTCAAACAAACGTGGAAGATAACAAATAAACAAACTCAAATGACTTCTCAAAGAAAAGGGACTCATTTTAAATGTTACATGAAACACATGGATTTATTAATTTCTGGAACCTTGAGTACTATCTTATGTTTATCAATGTCGTAATTAGAGGAATTAAATAATAGGAGAAAGAGTAAGTTTTTATCCATCTTCCTTTCTACTAAAAAGGAATTATATTTGCTAAAGAATCAACTTACTAATATGATAAATCTATAATATATAAACTACTGTCATTCCATACAAGCAACTGACACACTAAAATTGGATCAACTTGAAGGAGGATACGTACAGTCTGTATTGGTTCGGCAAGAACCTCCCATGATTGGTTCAAGTCTTCAGTCAACGATGCATCATTGACCTATAGCCAAACAAAATTAATAAGAGAAAAAAAATAATAATAAAATAAAAAACAGAATGGTGAAAATTAAAGCTTTCTGCTCAACCCTAAAATAACAGCGGCTAGAAGAGCATAAACTAAGAGCAATGGCTCTGTAGTTAAGAATTACTATTCTGTTAGTAGCTACTGCAAGCCAGCAGATACTAAGATCATCAGATGAACAATTACAAGTATGTCCATATTACTACAGGACAAATAGCTCCTGAAAACTTTAGTTATGCATGCACCTTCCAGAAGAGGAGCACCACGACTTGAAAATCATATTACCTGAAGCTTCCCTATCCCTTGTAATGCACTTTTGTAAGACAGAAGAGAATGTCCTAATCCCATGCCCATGTTCCTCAGAACTGTTGAATCAGTTAGGTCACGCTGCGAAAAATAGAGTAGAGAAGGATACTATCATTGCTCAAGAAGAAGTGTGCCTTACTCTAGCATGGTAATACCATTACCTAAAATAGTTGCAAAACACGCATAAAATTCTGGTAAGCTATAACTGTCCTCTTGTGTTTACTTTATACTGAGTTAAATTGTATTAGCAGTATTAGCAAGCAAATCATAATTACCTTGTAGCAATGTTCATAACATGAAGGACAGAACTCAATTTCAGGACCTTAGATCATATAGCCTACCAATGCCAATCTTGGGCTTGATACACAATAAAACACACACAAGTACAAACACGCAAACACTCAAGGAAACCTGACTCCTTTATACCTGCCAACGTGAAATAGGCAACTTTGTGGATAAATGGGACAGAAATGCATTAGCTACACCGAGATTGCCTTCACTGTTCTCAAAGTCAATGGGATTCACTTTGTGAGGCATTGTTGAAGATCCAATCTCACCAGCTTTAGTTATCTGCTTGACATTTGGGAATAAATTGATTTATGATCACTTGAAAATGAAAACCAATATTAAAATGTTCACATGTCCGTCAGAACACTCACCTGCTTAAAATAACCTACAGATATATAGCCCCATATGTCTCTGTCAAAATCTGTTAAGATGTTGTTGAACTGGATAACTGAATGAAAAAGTTTTGCCATATAATCATGAGATTCAATCTGCATAACAAGTACAAAATTAATAACTCAGAATAGATAATGCATAAATAATAAATATGCCCTCTCATTTGAAAGGTGCCTAGATATGTCATTCACTATTCGAAACACATTTTTTCACACTGCCCGAGTCATTCAACTAGATACGTAAATAGTATCTTTGCCAACTAAATAGTCTCTTTGCTGCACATTGCCTGTCATTTACTGTTCAATAAGCAGCAAAGAGACTATTTAGTAAGGACTTAAGTGCATGAAACATACCTGAGTCACATAGGGATTAAAACTTAATCCAAGAGATCTAACAAACTCCTCTGCAATTTGAGGCCAACTGACATCAGGATATGCAACAAGATGTGCATTGTAATTTCCAACTGCACCAGCAAACTTCCCCATTATTTCAGTTTGAGAAATTTCCCGCCTTTCCCTGCTTAACCTGACAGCAAAATTTGCCATTTCCTTTCCCAAAGTTGTAGGTGAAGCTGGCTACAACACATAACAAAATAAAAATAAATTGTGTAATCAGTTCATGACTTCCATAGTTCAAAAACTAAAGCAAGCAGTTGATTCCATCATGTAATCTTGTTCAAACAAATATGTATTTACCAGCTTTCATGTGCCTGGCATGGAAGAGTTTATATAATAAATTTTAGGGAAAAAAAAAATTTAGAACAACGTTAATTTTGAATGGAGCTCAAAGATCAAAATTTGGGTCTTAGTCGAAATTTAAGGATGGCTCAGAAAGAATTTTTATCATAATTTCCTCATTCGTTTCCTTTTCTCCCTTTCACCATTTTTAGTTCTTGCCAGTGTACTTTATCCATATCTAAAATACTAACATAAAAATTATTGGTCAAGTGTACACTCTTAGTTCCTTTTTTCTTTTTTCTGCCGAGGAGGAGAGGGGGTAGTATTAGTGCAGGGGTTGTTCAGTTGCCTATAATACAGTAGCACTAAATTGCTACTCAGTGTAAACTAACTATGCTACCTGCCCATGAGTCCGAGAAAGCATAGGAATGTGAGCATTAGCTTTAGCGATGGTGCATATTGCCTTGATCAAATCATCCATAACAGGAAATATGACACAGTTCACTGATTCTCTCAGCATCAATGCATGTGCAAGATTGTTGATGTCCTCCGATGTGCAGGCAAAGTGAAAAAACTCAAGCACCTACAATGAGAGAGAGAGAGATGGTTAGATGCTCCTAAAAGTTTCTAATAATGAAACTATCGTCATTAACAGCACAGCAGGTGAAGACTTGACAATAGAAGTACAATTATTTAGTATTTACTAAAGCGGATTATTTCAGTACCTCGAGAAACTAAAAGAGTAAACCCAAACCTTGACAATTTCTGGATGTGCTTGGCATTTCTGTTTCAAGAAGTATTCCACTGCTTTCACATCATGGTTTGTTACTTTCTCAATCTTTTTAACTTCCATAGCATCACTAATACTAAATCCGTCAATCAAGCCTTGTAAATAAGACTGAGCTTCTCTAGTGAAGCTAGGGACCTCAGTGACTTCGGGGATTTGAGAAAGCTTCAACAGCCATTTGATCTGATAGAGTTCCAAAGTTCACCCAAAAGAATTACAAAAAGTGTACAGAAGAATAAACATGAATATTATTCTCATAAGATGAAAATCAACACAAGTATAACAAAGTTTAAAAAAGTGAGCAATAATGTTAAAAATTCAACAATAACCTAAGCATTGAGTAACCCCAATTACTCTTAATTAAGATAACTTGTCATAGAATTGTAGATGGCTTAGTCTAACTAAGGCACAGGTACAGCTCATTTTTCAAGTTACAACACTAGCAGATAAGGCCATCACAATGTTCCCTGCTCATGACCAGCTTAGATGATTAATTAATCACTCTACGATAGTTCCCCGGCGAATTAACCAACCCAAATCATCATTATTGAGTACCTGTCTCCAAGACATTGGCTCTGCTGCCACCGACAAGGACCACTAGACATGGTAAGTCAAAACTCTCCATTAGAGGCTTAGTTCCTTACATAAAGCTGATAACATCTCTTTCTCTCTGTATACTGGCACAACATTTTGGCACCTTATCCATGCCTAAGGTTGGGAGCAAAAGCAGCAAAACCAAGTAGGGTACAGTACAACCAATCTCTTCAATTTTTGTTTCCTGAACCAATATCTTCATAGAACAGCTCAAACTCAACTTGGTATTAGCTTAACTCATTCAATAAGCTGATGGACTGAACTTGAGTCCCATTTTTAAGCACGTTTAATAAAAAACTGATTTCTAACAAGACCATTGCTAATGAACAGATGGCAGTGGCCCACAAATAAATTCTTCAAATTCAATGGTCATTTATTAATCATTAAATTTCTTTACAGATATACATACAATATATATGCCAAAAGATATATATTAGAATATCACATTAACCAACATGCAGGCACCAACTTCTTATGTATGACCTCAAATTTTAATTTTTTACAAGACATGTTTACGTGGAGTCACTATATACTCACTAATGTGAACTTACAGCCGATAACTGTTAAAGCCAATTCTTAAAGATGTTAACTAGCCAAGCCTAAGCAGCTTGCAAGCTGATCAAACTGTCAGAAAGCTGAGCTTGAGCTTTAGTCCCCAAGCTCAAGCATAACCCAATCAGGTTTAAGTCAAGTAGTCTAGTTGATGCAAATCCATATAAACTGCAGCAAATAAATAAGAAAAAGTGTACTTTGAATCAGTGTATATCAATTTGAAAATTGGCAAATATGCCCAATCAGTTTTAGATTTACCGTACGGAATAATGAACAAGATTATCCATCAGATAAATTACATTTTCAAAACAATAGCAAGATGAAGAAGGAGAAGGGGGTGGGGGTCCCCAATTAAACTAGAGGCACACAGAAGAAGAAAGTGATATAATTTGAACCAGTATAATAGAACAAAGCACACATTTTTGTATTTCCATGTAATGTATTCATAAACTATAGTCAGTTAGTCACATTAGTCAACAATATGCATCAAGTACTCACTCATCTTCTTTCTTCGGACTCTTGTATGTAAATAAGCCACCACAATTCACACCACCAAAAAAATATTAAAATCAATAACTCTTAACATAAGCATAATTTGTTTCAACAATATGACAGTTCATGTTAGAAAGTACCTCAACTAGAACTCGGAAGTAAATCAGGCCATATTCGCTCATATAAGGAGCCAAGTCCTTCACCTTACTCCAATAACGACCATCAAGAGGGGATAGAGCTGTTAACATACTAGGAAGCTCAAAATCATGAGAATGTTCTTCAGACATCCACTTCACCTGGAAAATAAAAAATAAAAAAAAACTTTCAGAGACATAAAATCATTTATTAGCATCCAATTTGTGCATATTTATATATACATAAGATGGTGAGAGAAAAAACAATTAATTCATGAAATCATATCATTTCAGAACAAATTAACATATGCATATGAGAAAATGGTGAAAGAATGACCTTTTCTACGGAGATGGTGGTGTTGCTTCCCTTGAGGGTGGCTTTGCAAATGCAATCTCTGCGCAGAGTTGTTGATGAACTGTGAAATGAAGCGGTGGTAGGATGGTACGAAAACGAGTGGTCTCTCGATAGGGGATGTCTGCGGATAGGTAAAGAACAACAGAGTTGATTGCTGTTCAAAACCCTAGCACAAGCTCCAAACTCCATCGAATCGAATCAACAAAAATGCTCCAACAGACGATGCAGTCACAGCCCTCTCAACTCTCTCTTCGCGGTCTTTTTTCCTAGAACCCTAATTTGATTGATTGGATGGATCCGTTTTAGGACAATTGAGACCAATCCGATTCGAACCGTATTAAAAATGGTTCGGATCGATTCTGTGAATCATACTTATTGTAAAGTCTAATTTAATCTTGACGCTTCATTTGGTTGAAAGAATTAAAAAAAAAATATATATATATATATATATATATATTTAATTCTTTCAAATATATATATATTTATTTATTTATTTATTTGTATATATTTTTTGTTTGAACGAAAATTTTGCAAGAAAATTGTAGAAAAAAATTGTTTAATAATTTGGATAGCATACAAGAAGATATTATTTTTTACTTAAATTGTCATTATTATTAACATTGAACTCAATAACAAGTCTAAATGGATTTGTCTAAAATCATACCCTTTTAACTTATTTTAAACAAAATAAGCAACGTCGAAATTTAAATTACTAATTTTCTATGAGAGATTCAATGAGACAAAAGGATTATATCATTTTTAAAAATAAATATAAAAAATTATGCACAAGACTAATTTTATTTTAGAGAGACAAAAAGAAAGGGCAAAGTTATAAATTTACATAATGAGTGTTTATGAAAAATGAAATTATTTTTTTTATAGATAAACTAAGTGATTATGAAAAATCACTTTCCTTCAAATTTGTTTCTACATACTTATAGCTATCTTGTAAAATTGTTTCCCTAATTTAAATGGCATAGACTAGACAATATAATTCAATTATATCTAATGATTTAATAATGGAGAAATAAAAATAAATAAAAAGTGCAAAAGGACATCATTAGTTCTTCACTTCTTTTATGCAAGTGGATAGGAAAAACACAAGTTGTGTCCTGGTCCATCTTGCTCAACATCACCCATTCTTGTTTATATACCCTACCCAATTGTTGCTCCGAACTCTACAAGTTGGGCATGGTTTTGTCAAGTCATTGGGTCAACTAAGTTTTCAAGCCCAAACGATCAAGTGAATGTTACAGAAAAATTTATTTATTTTCTTTTTTGTAATTTTACACAATTTTACACATAAAAAATTATCATAAATTAAAAGTTATTATATCAATTGTAAGAAGAAATATAATTTATGCCAAATATATAATTTAATCATTTATGATCTAAGTAGTATCCCCTCTTCTTTCAAAATAAAGAGCAAAGTTTATGAACTTAAACACATTCACAAAAAGACAATATTGTTGCCCTAGACCGGCACAATAATAAATGCATTGAAAAAATGAGAGTTAAGAGCGAGAGTTTTTTAAGAGACATTCACAGGAGAGTAATTTTATACACATTATTCACATCACTTGTGCAAGAAGCATGTTATATCATTATTTCATAATGTTCACTTAACACGATATTGTTACTCTGAGCATCTAAGTGTGTTGCACTAGCAATAAGGACCAAGGCACAGTAAAGTCAACTCCTTTCTCTAATTCAGCTCAAGGATTGGATGGTTAATTTGGTTCATGACCTGAGTAAATTAGTAATGTCATTCCAGAGATGTGTTTTTAACCTTGAAACTTACTAGTTATTCTAAAATACACCATTTATCCCAATTGATCTCGATGAATTTGTGAGTTGCTATTTGCTTGTGCTAGTTTCATCTTGATTACATGTCCAAAACTCAAGTAATTCATGAAATATTATGTTCTTTAATTTGAGTTCATTTCAAATATGTAAAAAGTTCAGAAAGAGGATTGAACATTGTGCTTTGTTTATTTCCATGACAAGAATGTTATGAATTACTTTGTATATTTTCATGACAAGAATGTTATAAATTACTGGTTAGTAGGGGTGCAAAAATTCGAAATAGGACTTCCAAAGATAACGGGAGCAACCCTACCGCTTAGGCCGGGAAGGTGTTTGCCCTCAGTTTGCTTTAGACACAACCAGATGAAGACATGAATTTTGACAGTTCTAACCCCCATGACATAGGCAGAGCAAAGGACGTTAAGCATATGCCAACATGCTCAAAACAAACACATCATAGAGGGCCAATACCATATCTCCTTGCACCACATATATATTTTTGAGCCACATAAATTTGAGTGATGGTAGTTAACCCTCTCTGATCATACCAGGCATATATATTCAACATCAGCCACGTGGCACATCACAATTAACCGCTTATCTATTATCCCACCATATTCCATCTTGTGTCCATGCCCAAAAATCAGTTGAGAGGCTAAAAAAACACACTACCAAGCATTAGCAGCCTCTGAAAAACCATTCAATTCTCACATTTGTTTGCACAAGCATGGAGGCTGGCATGGCATGCTGCGCACCCGGCACGCTCCTGGCCGGTGTTTCTTCCCGGCATTCGACTAATCTAATGTCTCCGGCATCCATTTCTCCTTCCTTCAGCTCCAGGGTATGGTGCTTGGAGCTTTAGTGTATCTTGTTAGATGCTTAAATGAAGTGCTTTTTTATGTAATTTTTTTAAAAAACTTGAATACTATATATTAGTATATGTTTATGATTATGCCATGAACTGTAATATGTATGAAGCATGAAAATTTTGTGTGCTCACAAACTCATACAAGCATAGACCTTATCTTAAATCTGAAAACGGAAATGGTGAATTAAATGTTGCAGAATCTGAAAACAAGCTCTCTATTTGGGGAGTCCCTACGGATCATTCCAAAATCATCACTTAAAGTTTCCAAGACAAAGAACTCTTCTCTCGTTACTAAATGCGAGATTGGTGATAGCTTGGTAAGTTTGTTATTCTAAGAACCAAATATTTTTATTAAAAAAAAACTCATCCATTTGGTGAAATTGTAAACATTATTGGATTTATGGGAGTTTGTTATTTGTAGGAAGAGTTCCTTGCAAAGGCGACACCGGATAAGGGACTAATCCGGTTGATGATGTGCATGGGTGAAGCACTGAGGACCATTGCCTTCAAAGTGAGAACAGCTTCTTGTGGAGGAACAGCCTGTGTCAACTCTTTTGGAGATGAGCAGCTCGCGGTTGATATGCTCGCTGACAAGCTTCTATTTGAGGTTAATTAAGACTTGCCTGACCACTCTATACTATTAAGTTCTTTTTGCCTGTCTTTCAAAGCTGAAAACAATGCTAAGAAGAAACAAAAATGTTAGGGTTTGAATTTGAATTTGGTTAAATCTGTTTTGTGACCTCCAAATAAGTCCTTTTCAAATTTTCCACAAAGGGCAGGCTTAACATTTGGTTCAATTAGTTTTCCAACTAGAATTAATGATGCAGAAAAATTTAAATTACTCTTAAGCTGCATTAAATTGAAGAATGGATTGTAATGACCTCTAATATCATTTCATTTTTATGAAGTCCTGTACTTTTTGTCTCTTTAAATTGAAGCTTAAGGCTAAGGCACATATAGAGTGCTTATTATACATTTAAATTCGAAACTTCAATTGTTAGGTACTCTTACAACCTCTAAAATGGCCATTTTAAACTTTCATACTCCTGTAAACTCTGTAAGTAAAAGTTCTTGATATTAATAATTCTAAAAACATTTGAGGGCTCACTATTCATGAATCATGACCTAACTCATTCTTTCCTAAATCTGCTCCTGAAAATTCATCCTTATGTATGGAGTTTCTTTTGATGTTTAGGCCTTGACTTACTCACACTTCTGCAAATATGCTTGCTCGGAGGAAGTACCCGAGCTCCAAGACATGGGAGGGCCGGCTGAAGGTTTGTAAACATTGTGATCCTTTTAGAGATCACATATTGCAGTTATAATCAAATTCGGAAATTGATCATCTCAACAAAGTTTAATTAAATTTTACTTTCATGACCCTTTCAGTTTTTGCAATATAAACAGGTGGATTTAGTGTTGCATTTGATCCGCTTGATGGCTCTAGTATCGTTGACACAAACTTCACAGTTGGCACAATCTTTGGGGTGTGGCCGGGAGATAAGTTGACTGGCATAAAAGGGAGAGATCAAGTTGCTGCTGCCATGGGGATTTACGGACCTCGAACTACATATGTTCTTGCTCTGAAAGACTGCCCCGGCACCCATGAGTTCCTTCTTCTCGATGAAGGTTTGTTAACAACAATATTGTCAAAATATTAGGAATGTAGGCATTTTTCTGTCATTTTGATTTCCTCAGCCCTCAGTACAAAAATTGACTGTTGCTTCTAAACTATGTTCTATTACTCTGGAGTAAAGGGTGTTCAAATCCCTCTCTTTTTCTCTCTCAAATTTTTTTTCCTGGCAATCAGGAAAATGGCTACATGTCAAAGACACGACGGAAATTGGTGAGGGAAAGATGTTCTCCCCTGGAAATTTGAGAGCCACATTTGACAACCCTGACTATGACAAGGTTTTAACTTTTTTCCTTTACTTTAATTTCATTTTTTTTGGCCTATGGATCATATTTTTATATTCTAACTTCTCAACTGTCAACAACAGCTGATCAAATACTATGTAAAAGAGAAATACACTTTGCGATACACTGGAGGGATGGTGCCGGATGTTAATCAGGTCTTCGCATCTCCTCCATGGTTTTTTTTTTGTCATACTTTAACTTTAGGGACTGTTTCTGAAAAATCAAGTGACTCAAGTTGAACTCATTATTGTTCTGTCTTCTAAAATGCAGATCATTGTGAAAGAGAAAGGTATATTCACAAATGTGACATCCCCAACTACGAAAGCTAAGCTGAGACTGCTATTTGAGGTGGCTCCTCTTGGATTATTGATTGAAAAAGCCGGAGGCTACAGTAGCGATGGCAAACAGTCTGTGCTAGACAAGGTTATCGTAAATCTTGATGATAGGACTCAAGTAGCCTACGGATCAAAGAATGAGATTATCCGGTTTGAAGAAACACTATATGGATCCTCCAGGCTCAAGGGTGGTGTGCCAGTTGGAGCTGCTGCTTAAGCTAAGCAGTGCTTTATTTTTATTTTTTTCTCTTCTCTCTACCAAAACCTTGACCTGTAGCTTGGAACTTAAGACCCAAAGCCACCAAGACAAAAGTAGACTTGTTAAGCTGCTTTATTTTCAGTGTTTTTTCTTTCTTCTGGAACATAAAGCTACTTTGTATACAGGTTGTTTTGATAATCAATGATTTATATATTCAGGTTATGGTGAAAGTACTTATGTCTTAAGGTGTAGGGATCAAACAGTTTAGGTAGTTGTTCTTTGTTTGGCTTTTCTTTTGCCAAATGTGCTTTTAGTCTCAAGGTTTGTGATCATAAAGTTGTATTAGGTTTAATTCAGCTCATTTCTATCATCATTTACAGCAGCATGCTTGTATAATGCATAGCATTAGGATTTGAGTGAGAGTATAAGAATGTTCATATACGGGATTGGTCTATACTCTCGCTAACTGCTCAACAATCAAGAACGACTAGGAGACTAGAACACTTATCATTATGATATTTGAAATGTGTAAAATAAGATTTTGAAACAGCATATAACATAAAAATAAACAAAGATTAGAAATTCTAACATAAAAAGCTCTAGCTGTGCAGATAAGTTCAAATCGAAGTGATATTATCAATACGCCTAATAATTAGTAATTTTTATGAAAAAAAAAAAAAAAACCATCACTTACATGGTCCTAATTGTGGGAACTGGGAATGATTCTTACCAGAGCATCAATGATTCTGTAGTGTAAAAGCATCTAGAGCTAGATTGTACACTCCAATACTTGTTTCAATGTAGTTACTGTCACTTGACAATAGCAATAGACAAATAAAGTGACGAAGACTTGCAAATCTTAAAATTTCCTCAACCAGTGCAAAATATCATAGGATAAATCTTAGACTTTTTTTATGCTGGTGCAAAAGTGATTTAACAGCGTTTGGAATGAAGGAATTAGATGGAAAGTGGTAGGATTTCAAGGGAAAAATTATAAAAACAAAATATTGGACGTTGAATGTGGACATTTCAAAACAGAGGATTTGAAAAGGATGAAGTCTCATTTTATTGTAATTTCTAAAAATTCCAATTAAAGATCACTATTTTACTTCACTATTTTCAAAACTCATACACTAACAGTTAAAACAGTGATTTTCTTAATAGGGCTAGCCCAGTACACTAGACTCCTGCTATTGTGAAATTATCTCAGCACACGGACAAGTGGAGCAAAACTGGAGAGCAGCTCCCTCTAATCAACTCCCTATAAAAACTAGTATAATAACAAGAGAGAGAACATTTATATGACCTGCATATAATTTTATCTCCAATCAAAACCCACAAGTAGACACCTTCAAATTTTTGGTGTCTTCCTTTCTCTTTCTAACTCTCAGTCAGTCACTCACCTTTGGATTCATTCTCATCCACCTTTTTCTAAAACCCCCCATTCACATTCACCATTAACTCTATATCTTCTTTCTTGCCTTAGCCTCAAAGGTAAGCAAAGAAAATGGTGCCTTCCCGCATGTCCACATTCGATTCTTCAGAATCAGTCTCTTTTCTCAACTGGGTTTTGGTTTTTATTTCATTCCATGATTTATTTCACTTTCTTCAAAAATTTTAGATTGGTGCTGTAGTGCAAAGTCTCACTTTTTGAAGCTTCATTTCTTCAAAATTTCATGTCTCTCTCAAATTCAAAACTTTAATTTGGGTATTGCTTTTAACTATTAATTTTTTCTTTGGTTCTTCCAGTGTTAATTTGGTTTAGCAATAATATGTGACTGACAGGGTTTAGAGTTTATTTGTGAGCAGTAAGATCGATTGCCTTTTGTGTTATTCTTTTTCAAGATTCTCTTGAATCTGAAATCTTTCGTAGATTTCTTCAAGTTGTGCTATTAAGAAAATGGTATTCTGATTCCAGTGAATGGTTCTGAATTTAATGCCTTTTCGGTCATTGTAAATCCTCACTGTTTTTCTGCGCACTCTATATTTCTTCAGTGTCATCAGTTTGAGTGACTGAACAATTCTATGGATATGAACTTCCAATTCATAGAAAATTGAGGATTTTAGTCTTGAGAGAACGAGTGTTTGAAGTGTTCGAAACTCGTGGAAATGGAAGGCCTGTATCCATCATCTTCATATATTTTGAGTTCAAATTGGTTGTTGCAAGAGAGCAGGAGCACAATATGGACTAGGGAAGAGAACAAGAGGTTTGAGAAGGCTCTTGCAATATTTGATGAGCACAGTCCGGATCGTTGGCTAAAAGTGGCAGAGATGATACCTGGAAAGTCGGTTTTAGATGTGATGAAACAGTACGAAGATTTGGCAGCAGATGTTGATAATATAGAAGCTGGGTTGATTCCAATTCCGGGCTACTTGACCTCCTCTTTCACATTGGAGTTTGTGGATAATTGCGACTTTGATATGTTCAGAAAGAGATCTTCTACAGGTGGATCATCTGATCAGGAGAGGAGAAAAGGGGTACCTTGGACAGAAGAAGAGCACAGGTGAATTCACTTCATAACCATGTAGTTTGTCTAGGCAGCTTAGTATCTCTATTTGGTAAACTTGAAAGCTTCTTTTCTTTTTATGCTGTTAAGTTTCTATGGAAATGAAAAGCTAAACTCAGCTATAGTCTTATTTGAGTTGATCAACACAACCCTAATGATTGAAATTTGAGGTTTCAAATTTCCTTTCCTTTCCTTTCCTTACCTTTTTGTTTGTTTGTTTGTTTTGCATTAGCAAAACAAAGAGCCTTTTATAACTGGACTTAAATGAATTTCATGCCATAAGCTTGTTGGTTTCGTATATAATACCTATCTATGCTTTAGGGTAGCAATTTGAAATGTCCAACATTTAGTATTTGCAGTATATCCTTGCTGCTCATGACATGAATTATTGAGTGTAGGCGGTTTCTGATGGGCCTGCAAAAGCATGGTAAAGGGGACTGGAGAAATATCTCCCGTAATTTCGTCGTCTCCAAGACACCAACTCAAGTGGCTAGCCATGCTCAAAAATACTTCATAAGGCAGAACTCGGAAGGAAAGGAAAAGAGGCGGCCCAGCATCCATGACATCACAGTTGTCCATCTCACCGGCACTACTTCACCGGACAATCAAGAATCTCCGTCATCAAATAAGTTTGCTCTGATTCCACCACCTTTGGTCTCCCAAAGGAAACCAAAAATATTTCCCAACTGGAATCACTCCAATGATGGATCAGTGATGGTTTTCGACTCAACTCAAGGTAACATGTTCATGCAGTATCGTCATGAGGTTGCTTCACATGGTCTTAACCTGCAAGGGGGTGCATATCATGGAGCTCGTACCGGACCTCATAATTCAGTGTTTCAGATTCAATCCACGAGGTACCAAATTCTTGAATGAGTCGATCAGCAGTCTTCGTAGTTGTCAAAATAAGTCGAAATGCCCACTCCGACTCTGTTGAGTAGAATTGCAATGTCGGTGCTTATGCCATGATGTTATGTGATTACATTACTAATGATTTGAGCTAATCACGTCGTGAATCAAACTCTCAGAGTGATATATTTCATATCATGCTTCGACTTTTAGTTGCAGAAACTCTTGAATTCGTGTCTACATTTTAACTTGTTTGAATGTTTAAATGGTTCTGTAGTTCATGTAATGCATGAACAAAGGCATTAAGTGTGATAAGCTTCTTGAATTATGAGCTTAGTACTTGGCAAAATAACACCATTCAAGCTTACGAGTCCTGGGAAGCCTTATCTCTTCTTATTCTCGAGAACAAATGAAATAGCAAATTACTTAAAGATTTTCCAGGATCATTTTCACCTTTCAAGGACGAACACGAAGAATGATTACGTGATTGTTTAGCACACTCCACAAAAGTAAAGCCGGATTATCGTAGTTAATTAATCAGCAGCCATGTCATTAGGTGCTGCAGTGGCCGAGCTAGCTGACTCACTCCGCACTCTCCATGAACTTCAAGAGTGTATCTGATTGCATACCATTTTTTTTCCTCCTTTGGACACTTTCCACCATCTTTAGATTTAAGCATCCAATATGGCCAAATTGACTAAGCTTGATCACCATCACTTTTGTCAAAGAGTGAGTCTGCATTCCACTACTTAGAGCAGCATCTTATACTTTATCCTTCATAAAACGCAACAATCCATGTACCAGTATCGTTGTGGTCCCTGATTCTTCTATCTTTCACAATCCAGTTTCCCTTACTCTACGGTATCTCACTACCCCCCTCATCCAAATGTCAATGGCGGCAAGACTTTCCACTAGCATTGTTGCCTTTTCCTTTTGCAAGTTTATGAAAAAATCTTAGTTCTTTTTTTTTTTTTTTTTTTTTTTTTTTTTTTTTTTTTTTTTTTTTTTTTTTCTTGAAACCTAACTGAACTAGAGAAAGGCTGGGGAGGAATGGAACTGTGTTAACATGTGATGTTCTCATTTGCAGTGAAATTTTGACTTTTGCTTGAGATTGGGAAGATTATAAAGTAATTCTCCAAATGGAATTAATCACTTGAATCCTTAGTTTTACAGTGTCCCTGCCCTTATTTGCAGAGAGTTTTAGGAAAATAAAAGGAAGATTGAATTCTTAAAATTATTTTCCAGATAAAGAAACCTTTTTCCCATATGTTGTTTTGTTGTGTTGGTCCTTCCGATAATGAATGCTTTACAAAAGAAACAGCTATGTAAAAGAAAAAGAAAGTAGTAAAAGAGCTTTATCCTTGCTTGTGAAAGCTTTATTGATCATTTAACAAAAAAAAAAAAAGAAGGAATGAACTAATTTCCAAATGTAAAATTCATCATTTATGATGGCATAGTTTAGAGAAACATTTGCGATTTTTTTTATAGGGTAAATTACACTGACCCTTTTTTGAGGATTAGACAAATTACACACTGGTGAACCATTCAAGCATTTATTATTTTGACATCCCTAATCTTGTTCCAAAGTGAATTTGAGTGTGAAAAGTTCAATAATGCCCTGATTTTCATACAAGGGAAGGACAAGTTTGTCATTTTATAAAATTCGGTCAACAAATCTGCAGGAAAAAAATATTTAGAGCATCTCCAGCAGTTTGTTAAAACACTCTTTTGTGTGAAATATACGTTGTCACATATGACGTGTAAATTTTTTATTTTTTATTTATCTCGAAGAGTTTGTTAAGATACACTGTTACATCAACAATGTGTAAAATTGTTGTGTATTTTACACAACCTTTTTACACAGCCACATTAGCATATTTCCTTTCTCCTCCCTCTTTCTCATTCCATTAATTAATCAACCCTATATTCAGTAGGTTTGTAAAATTATGCGGGGTCCAGGCATGACACTGGTTGATTGTTATTGGGGGATATATTTTTACACAAAAGGTATAAAACAACCACTGGAGCTAAAAATAAATAATTCAAAATTTTTGTGTAAATCTATTATTACACATCAAATTTACACAAAAAAAATATACACAACGATTGGAAATGCTCTAAGGGTGTCATTGAACACACACGCCAAATCTCAAGAGAGGTCAAAGTAATAAACGATGAACGATTTATCCGTGTATAATTTGTCCAAATCAGGGGAGGTCAATGTAATTTACCCCTTTATATATATATATATATATATATATTTAAAACAATTAAAAAAAAATGAGTGGCACCATATTCATGAGTCACCAATCTCTACATAGCAGTCTGGTTCTGTGGTTCACCTAGGTTTTATGCTAGTGGGCACACCACTATCATAGTGGCAGTAGGAGTTGCAAAGACAACAACTGAAATGAACATATCATAATTCCTAAATATACTATTACTGTGTTGCCATATATGCTTTCTTCCACCACCATTTTTGCTGCTACAACTATTATGAGCTAAGGGGCTGCTAAACCACACATTAAGCATTAAAAAAAGTCCAAGGCAAAATGAGCAATATGATTTCTCTCTTATTTAGATTTTTATGGAAAAAAGGACAAAAACTACCTACTTTGTATCATTTTTTCATTGGAGCAGCCTTTTTGCAAGTTGCACAAGAAAGCACTCTCAGTCACTTTCTTCTTCCTTCTTTTTTTCTTTTCTAATTTTAGTCAGACCCTTGAGTGGATAAAGATCACATACATTTACATAAAAGTCTTAAAATATACAGTTTGGTTCATCTTTCCTTTCTTAAAATTGAAAGAAACAAAAGAAGTTACGTAAAAAAGTAAATCTTTCTGTAGCAGTATTTTTCTTTATTGCTCAGCAAATGCAAAGAACTTCACCACACAGAAAGATATCTTAAAGCTTTTGTGGCACTTCTTCATAGGCCCCTAAAGGTCCTAGGATGATCTTCCAATCATAGGTTTATTAATATTATTATTATTGTTATTATTATTTCCATCAAATCTCATATATATGAGTAAGGGGATGATCTATTAACTACAGGCAATTAAGATAACAATAGATTCAATTTTAATTTACCTCTTAATGGCAGTCTAGGGAGCCCAGAAGAGTGGTTATCATGCAGCCAACAACACACACAGCTAATTTTTATTACACAATTTTCATACAATGTTGTATCAAGTGCAGATGTGTTAATCATGACTCCTATTAAAAGAATGAAATGCAAATACAGATATTGAAAAGACTCGAAAGCAGAACCCAGTCAGCTTTTACAATGACAACAACAAATTATGCAACATAAAAATCAATCTTCCTTCCATTCAAAATTTAACAAGATCACCAAAATTCTGTGCATTTAAATTAACAAAAATTTGACTCAAATTAAAACTAATATAGGTTACCACGAGAACACGTGGAGCACAAGAATTTTCAAATTACAGACGAACACAAGCTTATTACAGGGCAAAAGTTCAGAAATAGGATCAGAACTACTATAATCTAAAAAGAAAAAGAAAAACCTCCTTACAGAGAAGAAAAGATACAGGACACATAACAGAGTGCATGCAACAGGGAAAAGACGTACTCTCTTGTAAAAAGAATATATTTACATACGCAGAGGGATGACAGAATCCGGAAAATCCGATCTTTGTCCAGCAAGGGAGTAATATGCAAGTATATGGGGTGGATGCTCGACAAATACAACTTCCCCAAGCAGATTCGGAACAGGTACTTTTCTTGAAGGAATCAACTCAATATTCCAAAATGGGCGAGCCATCGCCAAGAGATCACGACCAGTTGGAGATGCTCTATATGCATGCACCCACAAATACCTCAGAGAAGTAAACTGCAACGTAGCAATTGCCATTGCTTGTTCACTAAAGCAACAGCCCCTCATTTCTAGCTTTTGCAGTCTAGGACAGCCTTTGGACAACTCCAGAAGCCCTGCATCAGATTCCCCGACATTACCAAGAAGCATCCATCTTACATTTTGGCTGTACTGCCCGATATAAGAGAGGCCCAAATCAGTCAGGCCCCCGGGCCGAAGATACAGAGCAAACCTTCTAAGATTATGCAAACCACTTAATAGGGCTCGCACTCCATTATCAAGTGGTAAATCCGTTATCCTTTCTTCTAGGTCAAGCAAAACGAGACGAAAATCAAACAGGTTTTTCAAGTATGTGCCAATATATTCCAAAGATTCATTTGTTATATCAGACACATGTACAGCCATGTACTCGAGTTCAAGGCAGCCCTGTGCCAAAGCAATTAGTCCTCTCTGTGATACTACACCTTCCGCATCCTCCAATCCCTGTTCATCAGCACCATGCTCAATCCTGAGCCTCCTTAATCTCTTGCAACACTGAGCAAGAACTTCCAATCCTCTATCTCCAATTACATCCCTGGTCTGTTCATCAGAAAATAAAAGTCTTAACACAATTTACCTAAATAATTAATGAATATAATTTCAATATGGTTTTACTTGGCGATATTACAAATTTGATTTGAAGCTGGAAAGGTCATTTACTTAATTTTGATATTCTTTAAAATAAAACTTACGATCAAGATTACAAATATCACAGGAGCAATGCAAGCAACAACATTCAAATAGCATGTGCAATTTATTTGTAGAAACTACAAAGGGTGAATTTGTAGCAGTTCTAGAAAAGTGAATGTATAAAACACTGAAACACATGCATAAAAAGTTAAATAGAACAAGTAGAGGACATGACCAAAAGATAAGAGAAACGGTTTTGAAATTTCACCTCGAGAATTTCCAAGTTATGGCACCTTTGAATCAAAAGACAATGACCCTCTGTATCGAGAAAAGCATAAAGGAGATCCAATTTTTTCAGTAAGGATGCAAAAGGGAATACGATGGGCATTTCGTCCGTTCCCAAGTATGATAGACCCAAACGGCATAATCTTGGGGGAAATGATACAGAAGAATAGGATTCTGGTTGCTCACTGAAGGAACCTCCACTAAACTCTTCCAATAAAGGTGCAGCACGAAAGAGATCAACAAGTTGCAAGATTTCACAATCGCTAATTTTCACTGAGACTAAAGAGTGACAATTTCTGGCTATGAGTCCAAGGTCTTGGGAACTGACTTTGACAAGTTCTGTCATGTAAAAGTTCAAAATTTTGAGAACTGTGTTGTTCAAAGCAAGCTGATGTAGCCATTCCCCATCTTTCTCGTCTATTGTGCTCTCTTCGAGAAACAAGGTTCTTAAACTCCTGAGGAAGAACAAACAAGGTTAGATACAGAAATGAGAAGATGTATCAATATTATATCTCTAAGTAGGCACCATTTAGCCAGATGTCAATCATTTCAATCACAACAACCATTTCTCCAAAATTAAATAACCAAAAAAAGCACAATTATTAACAAAAACACTTACAAGATTACCATATAACAAAATAATATAACACAGCTATCCACCCCCAAGATTGCTTAGATGCACAAGGAGAGTCTAAACATATGTTCAAATAAAATACATGAATAAAGAACCAAAACTATCCAATATTGCAGCACAACATCATGCACATTAATATTAGTGTTAATTCGTTTTTTAAATTCTTCAGATCGTAGAACCACATATAGAAACACATTCTAACAGCTGAAATGAACAGAACTTGCACAATCACCTGACCTACATATAGTGGCAGCGGGAGAAATCAAATAATCTGTTAAAATGAATAACATGCAACTCAACTCAAAAACTTTATCATAATTGATTCATTTGCTTGAAAAGAAGCTACTTGAGCCCATTTTACAAATCTGTCGAATACAGGGTTGTACTTTCTGCCAAATAAAAGGTAAACATGTCTGTCTCTCTCTTTCTTTTTCTTATTTTTTTCTTTTTTCTTTTTTCACAAACTCAACACATTTTTTTGGCATTTGTCACTTATTTGAAGATATTAAAATTTTAGCAAGAAACAATTAGCATTATTTTTCTAAATACTATTGCTAAATAGCCATCAGAAAATCAGAAGGAGGGAGTTCGCAAGAAACAATAATTATTCTTTCTTTTTTTCCCCTAAATTCCATTGTTGAATAGCCATCAGAGACAAAGAAGGGATGACTATGGACGAACTATATTCAACCACAAAACACGTAAAGAGAGTATCCACTAGGCTGTTTCTTTTGCTTTGCAATCTTATTTTTAAAAGATTATTTACTTTGTAACCTGCAGCAGTTCCCACAGCAATTTCTTTAAAAGAAATAACTTGTACAGTGCATGTAGCTCTCACTGCAACTTCATTTGCAGTTTTCTTATCAGTACAAAGAACTGCTCAAGAGAGGAGGGGGGATGACTGTTATGGAAGAAGTATTGTGAAAGATGTGCAAGTCTTAAAAACAATTGGAAAAAAAACCTCAAGCAACACTTCACAGTTAAAAGCTAGCAATACCACTACTCTGGTCTTGAATATGACTAGAAATTATACCACTACCCTGGTCTAGAATTTGACTAGAAAGATGGAATTTCTCTATCCCAGGGTTCATCGGGCGGTCAAGAAACCCCCTTCAGTCAAGTGACATAGGAAAAAATTAAACAGCCAATGCATTGGGGGCTTCTTTAAAATCCCAATTTATCCTTTTCGATTAATTCTTAAAACTCCCCAAAACTATTAGAAATTTGCATATTGCCCACTTCTTTCGGAGTACCATGCAAGTCTGTGGGTTTCGTGCAATTAAACTTAAGGGTGGTTTAGTATTTTCCAAGACACATTTAGCGGCCACCTAACGATGATTAGATTGTTGGTCTTATTTGCAAACTTACAATACTTCAAGGGGAGTTAATTTTATTCCAGGAGCAACATCCAAAGTGTTTATAGTTGACGAGAGTTTTGTACAATTAGTTTAGAATAATAGAAAGTGGTCTCCATAAACTCTTCTTCTTTTTTTTTTAATCTTTACCATGAAATTAGCCACTTCTCCTTCTCTCTCTCTAGAAGACTGAAACACCCCCGCATGCGTGCACCCAAACCACAACCCTCCACCTGTGTGAGTAGATTTCTGGTTATGTCATTGCGGCGGTGAATGGCAAGCTAACTTTCTTGTATATAGGAAAGATACAAAATGATAGACTTGCCATTCTAATATAACTTTCACTTTACCTGTTGGGACTCTTTGTTGGTTCGTTTCTTGTTTTCTTCCCAATCGAATTTATATAAATCGGTTCACATCAAATTAGAAACTGTAAAATATATATATATATACACATATACACACACACAAATATATATAATGATTTTCAACAACAAACAACATACTCCACACAGCAATTCAAGCAACTAGAAGTTGGCTAAACAAAATTTTCTTCACCATTTTGAACTATTGATGGCCACATCCTTAATAAAATCTTCTTATGGTGTGGCACATGCACAATCATTTTTGGCTCTATCCTAGATATGCATTAGCACACCCATAAACCAAAAGAGAAAAGGATGAATAAGCTTTATATGATCAATGCTTGACAACTCATTTGTTCCTCGTTTGATTGCCTTCGTGCACTATAGAGTTTAACCACAGATCCCTTGACTGTCAATATAATAATTTGATACTTTATTTCCCTTCTAAAAAACCCATTATATCATCTAGTTCGGTACCAACTACCAAGCCTCATGCTCTCTTTAAATTTTAAATGATCGTGTGAAGGCCATTCCCTGTAAACCTTCACATTAGCCCATCTAAATAAGGAAACAAATAATAATTTACTGATACTCTTGTTTCATTCCTTAGCAACTGCTATATTACTACTTCCCAAAGTGTTCCATGACATAACTCAAAGCTCTATACCCAAATCATCAGTGCAACTTGTATATATACATTATTCTTGGTGTAGACATCACTGTGTTTTTCCTGCGATCATCAAGCATTTCAGTTAGCCTTTAAAATTTCTTCAACAATAGTTGACTAAGACAAGGCATCATCCCTAATCCACTTCCAAAACTCTTATTGGCATGGCAATCAGTGATAAGATTCATAGGTCTTATATTCACCTACTTTTTAAACTTTAAAGACCGCTATTTGACTCGCTGCCAGGTAATTTCAAACCCCGCTACTGGAATGTCATCAACAACCTAAGCAAAAGTTTGAAATTACCTTTTTTGGAGGGATTGCATTTTGCAAAGGTAATCTCAGCTACCATTCCATTTCATTATGTGTTTCTGTGACATTGAAAATAAACTGCTTTCGAACATGCTTTATTGAACTTCTATATATATAACATGTTTAAGTGCACTTGTAGTCATAAAGAAAAGTAGTAAAAGCAAAAAAATAATAAGATTTTATTTCTAGCTGAGACTTGAAATCCAATATAAATATATTACTCATATTAAATTGTCTTTATAAATTTAATGGAAATCATTAAGAACCAAATTTAAGGGACTTTAGTATTAAAACATTTATAGCAGTGTATTGTAAGGAGTGTTGGGTGAGAGGAAAAATAAAATAAAATTATGGCTTGCTCATGACCATTATGTTCCACTCATTACAATACGCATCCATTACTGTTAATTGAAACCTAAATTACTAATTTAAAAGCCCGTTCTTATTAGTTACTTAAACTATTTTAAATGACTTTATTATGGTGTCATGGTACCAACCACCTTAGTGATTGAACAATTGTTCTCAACACCCCTTTTCAAAATTTTCCTTATTATTATTATTATGTGCGTGTGTGGAGAGAGGAAATAAAAGACTAGAAGTTCAATAAGAAATAAAAAGAGTAGGATGTGCTACTACCAAAGGCAAAGGTAAATAAGTACTTCCAAAGTTGAAGGGGAAAAAATAAAATAAAAAGAGAAAGGTACCAGCTACATCCAATCACACCGCAAAATGATCATTGAAAAGCACTTCAAAAAGAAAAACATAAAAGCTAAATTTAGAATAGAAATCGTTAATTTTTTAATAGAACTTAAGATAAATCTTTCACCTGCTTCTAATGTCCTGAAGTATAGAATACACAGCCTCTTCACACAGCAAGACAATCAAATCAATGACAATTCTATATATCTTTTTTTTTCTTCATAAAAGACGATTCTATATGTTAAGAATAGGAATTATCAAATATGCAATAAATATATGATCTTGTCCATTAAAATAACAAAACTAAACAAAAACACAATCATGTTGGTAACAAGTAAAAACGCCTAATTCCTCCTTTTTACTAAGGTGTACAGTTTTCTTCTGAAACCTTATTTAGCAATTCAATTGCTCCAATAATAAAACAATGCATTCAAGTTCAAGAAATCCCCAGTGTAGAATTTTCAGCAATTTCAAGTGACGAAGTCATAATCATCTTCATCATCCTTTCATCTCTTGATCATCATAATCGACCTTTAAAAAGATTATGCACAGACAGCAGGCTATGAATTAAGACATCAAGTAAACAAGCACGTCAACCAAATATAATTTACACCTCTGCATCTCATGAATAGTACACTCTCTCACAAACACATAGGCACAGACCATTGATTTAAGTCGCTTGAAAACCAAAAAAATTATGACATCAACACAATACCTAAAAATCCAAGACAAATAATAAGAGCAATGCAAACAAAGGTAAGTTTCGCTGTTAAATTTGAAAACAAGGTTTAATTTGTATCGATAAAAGGTACTTCCTGAAAACACCTGTGGGGAAATTTTAATTTGATAATCTCTCACTCACAATAAACACATGACATGGAAGCTTGGGGAATATTTATCTAGTCTTCTCAACAAGCTCTCAATAAAAATCTCTCTTTCTACTAGAAAATTTCTAGTGCAAGATACATTTTTCCTCACCAAACAAATAAAAGCCAACATAAGAACCCCATTCAGGTTAAACAACAAAACAGAATAAGACCACCGTTCCTTATAATTAAACAAATAATTTAATTCCTTCTTAGCAAAGAATTAATTTTCTTAAATCAGGAACATTTCTTACAATATTCATTAGACCTATATCTATCATCTATACTTATGAATATGCAATGAAAGTTCTAAAACTAATAAATTCCACAAAATAGTATATAAAAAGTGTCTCAAATAAGACTCCAATATAATATCTAAGATCAGAACAAAAACAAATGACATCAGTTGCACAAACAAGACCCATATGACTTTTAACAATTGAAATTACACAAGACTTTTGCCGCAAATACCTGCACAACCGGCCGATATGCAGAAGTCCATCGGTGGAAAATCCAGAGCACTTATCGAGCTTTAGTACTTGCAAAGTATGACCACGCGATTGAGCGAGGAGTTCAAGATCCGAGTCCTTCACAATCATCCTTCGAAAATGAATCTCCTTCAAACAGCTAAAAGAAGTGGAAATCTCCTCCACCCACGGAGTGATGTACCCTCCCCAATCCTCCGGTATCAGATTGAACATCGCAGCCCGTGGCTTCCCCTTCAATTTCAGCGACTCCAGGTGCCGGAACCTCCGCCATAGCTGCTTCGGGGTGGTGGCGTAACACAGAGCGATCGTGATGTGCTTCCGCGACGACGCATCGATCTCGTACCATCTCCGGCACACCAGAGAGACCGCTTCGCGGTCACGCGAATCGTGTATGTACTGAATCACACATTCAAAAACCAAATCCGACATTCCACCACCCGCCCTATTCACGTTCCGATCCTCCATATCGTCTGATTTATCACACATACAACACAAATACCAACCAACAGAGCAACACCAAAACTCCAAAGATGAAAAATCCAAATCAAACACTAAACTCAATTTTCAAACTACTGAAACAGCCTTTGTTGAATTTTCAAGAAACCGAACGCTTTTCCAAATCGAACAACGCGATCTATGAGTAAGGCTTCCAAATTAGGCCGGTTCGAGAACGGAACACAGCCGAATCGAATCGGAAAAAACAGTAAATCGACTGATGATTGACGAGAGATTCAGAGAGCATCGAATCTTATCTTGCCGAAACACACCATCGTTGTATAGAGAGAGAAAGGAGAAAGAGAATCAACAGTGGAGATAGGCAGAACCCTAGAGGATGATGGGAGTGCACTGTGTAGACTTCTGGGTGCGGCTCCAACCAAAGTAGTGGTCAATGGGATGAGAGAGAGAGGGGGAGAGAGACAAGAGGGGAGAGAGAATGGTTGCGTGTGCAAAGTACAAAAACAGTATGCAGCGTCACTCTAGGAGGACTAGCACGTCAAATGGGAAAGATAAATTACTAAAAATCATAATGTCTGATATGATATGAATTGTTTGACTTGTTTCCATGTATTAGCAGCGGCCTAGGGTTACCCTTTCGTTGTTATTGATTGCGATATTTATTGGCGTTACAAAAACCAAACCTTTTTCGAGGAGATCTAAACCGCCAAAATTTTAATAAAGGAAAATATAATGAAAATAAATGTATTTGCATTATAAACATATTATAGAGTAACAAAAAATATTGGTAATCATTCTGGATGATGTGTTGGCCTCCACACCGCATTTTCCACATGCGTTTTTAATTAGGCACTTTTAACGGATCCAGAAATTCTTTTAAAAATGTATGTGGATGAAAGATTATATAGTGGATATTTTCAAATATTGGGTGAGAATATATTTTTAAAAAATCAGTGAGGGTAAAAAGGTAAAGTGGGGTATTTTTACAAATTTAATGGGAGTATTTTTAAAATTTTAACAATATATATATATATATATATATATTTAGTGGAGGCCAATTCCTCGACCTTAATTAGGTCAGTGTCGGACTATACAAGTTTTTAAGAATTGTTGTTCGATATATATCGGTAATAGTTAATATAATTTATTTTCAAAAATATTACAAGTTGCATCTACAAGGTTGAATAGTCATTTTATTTCTGTTGAGGCTGAAATTCGCGCAGTCCGATACGATACCGTTTTCCTACAAGAAAGAGAGGAGAAAATCGATGAACCTTGATGGCCCCGGTGTGGTGCCTGCCAAGAGCTCTTCGACGATCAAATTAGGCACGGAGGTCTAAAAAGAAAGCAGGGATTAATAATAGTTTTTACGTCGTACTTTCTTTAATGGCTTAATGCCCTATTTATGACTGTCGATTGGAATCAAAATCGTTCCGCTGATATCGATGGTTGACATTATCTTCCGCTTGTGCGAAATCATAGGAGATTTATTACCAGATTTGTCGGGATATGATTTAATCCTTTTGACCTCCTCTAGTTATAGTAGGATTATTCTTACTTGTTAAACCACGTCAGATTTGATTTCATTATCCTTGATAATGAAATCTAATCAATCTTATCGAGGGTAGGCTAGGTTTATATTTTTCCCTATCAGTTGCCTCCATTCCCAAGCTTGCACGTCTAGCTTTGGGAATGTAATAAATAATAATAATACTTTTTCTTTTTCTTTTTCTTTTTTTTTTTTTTTTTTCAACCCCGGTGAACAGTACCCGCGGCCACTATTCATGTGAATAGTAACTCAGGGTGTTTTTTTTTTTTTTTTCACCCGAGGGAACAGTACCCTCTGGTACTATGCATGAACAGTACTGCGAGTACTATTCATGAATAGTAATAATAATATTTTTTTTTTTTCAACCCCGATGAACAGTACCCCCGCGGGCACTATTCATGTGAATAGTAACTCAGGGTTTTTTTTTTTTTTTTTTTTCACCTGAGGGAACAGTACTCTTCCTTTTTTATAAGGGAATAAATTATACGAGTTTCGTCCCTTTAGTAAGGGAATTGAACTTTACGAGTTTTACTCAGCTCACCTCTTTAATAAAGGATTTTTATTTACTATCCCTTATTGTAAGGGGATATTAATTATGGGATTCATCCAACCCAGGTCCTTGTAGTACAGGACATTCATTTATTATCCTTATATTACAGGGATATGGATTACGGGATTCATTCAACCCGGGTCCTGATAATACAAGATACTTATCCCCTATAGTCCAGGGATATGGATGACGGGATTCATTCAACCCGGGTCCTTGTAATACAGGACACTCATTTACTATTCCCTTATAGTACGGGAATACGGATTACGGGATTCATTCAGCCCGAGTCCTTGTAATGCAGGACACTCATTTACTATCTCCTTTTAGTACGGGGATACGGATTACAGGATTCATTCAGCCCGGGTCCTTGTAATACAGGACACTCATTTACTATCCCCTTATAATACGGGGATACGAATTACGGAATTCATTCAGCCCGGGTCCTTGTAATACAGGACACTCATTTACTATCCCTTATAGTACGGGGATACTGCATGTATAAACTAAAAGGAATTTTATTAAAGACCATCATTATTAAAAACAAAATAACACGCGATGGAGCTACCCTCCATTTAAAATGGTTAACTAAGATGCCCCCAGTCTTTATTGTGAATGACTTGATAAGGCTAATTCCAGGCGCGAGACAATTTCTAGTCGGTATACTCATCTGAGTCATTCTCATGATATGTGCTATCACTCTGGCTGAAGAACGATTTCTTATATTTGGTATTATTTTCATCCCTGGCGAGAGGGGCTGGCCTCTTCTTATCCTCTCCTTCCTTCCGTGCACTCATGGTGTCTTCAGCGTTGATGTGTTTTTGCGCTCTGACTAGCAACTCTATCATGCTGGTGGGAGGTTCTTTTGATAAGGAGAACAAGAATCTGGAGGTTTGGAGTCCTCCTATGAAAGCGGTCAAAGCTACCTTGTCGTTCGCCTCTTCTACCTGCAACATCTATGCGTTGAATCGGGTGATGTATTCCCGAATCGACTCTTCCTTTTGTTGCTCCACGGTAAACAGGTAGGTAGCTGGCCTCCTATACCTCTGACCTGCAATGAAGTGGCTCACAAACTGCTTACTCAATTCTTCGAAGGTGTTAATGGTTCCTGGCTTCAACTTGTTGAACCAAACTCTCGCTGATCCCTTAAGTGTAGTGGGAAAAGTTCGGCACATGATTTCATCTGGCACAACGTGTAAATGCATAAGAGCTTGAAAAGTTTCTAGGTGATCGAGGGGATCTTTGGTCCCATCGAAGCTTTCGAACAAGGGCATCCTGAACTTGCTAGGTAATGGACATTTCATAACGGCGGGGCTGAAAGGCAAGTTGGTCCTTTGTACCAGGTCATCTACGGCGGCAGGACCTTTCCCTTTCATAGCCTGCATTACATCTTCCATTTTCCCCCTGAGATCCTTAATCTGCAAGTCGAGATGGGTAACTTTCTTTGTCTTTTCCTTAAGACAGAAGGCTATGCTTTCAGGAGGTCGGGAACTCCGTAGGAGAGATAGGTGAACCATCTCTTTATGTCGGGTTCCTACCTGGCTTTGTTCTACTTCAGTCTCATTTTGGGGGGAATGATTATCCCTCTCTTCAAGATTTTCATTACCTTCGTTTGGACTTGAGAGATCTTGTCCTGGAAAGTTTTGTTGAGCCGGTGGAACAAGGTGTTACAAGAGCGTTGCATTTTGCTGGATCAACTGATTCATACCCTGACTCAGAGTTTGAACCTGTAGTTCCAATGCTGCAAGTCGTGCCTGGTCGTTTGGGACGTCCAGGTTTTCACTCGACTCTACCCTTTGACCAGATCCCTGCGACGGTGTTCCTTCGGTAACCATATCGGACTGCAAACGTATATACCCAACGAGTAATTAATTGATTCAAGGGAATCGTGATTTCCACAGACGGCGCCAACTGTTGAGGCTGAAATTCGCGCAGTCCGATACGATACCGTTTTCCTGCAAGGAAGAGAGGAGAAGATCGATGAACCTTGACGGCACCGGTGTGGTGCCTGCCAAGAGCTCTCCGACGATCAAATTAGTCACGGAGGTCTAAAAAGAAGGCAGGGATTAATAATAGTTTTTACGTCGTACCTTCTTTAATGACTTGATACCCTATTTATGGCTGTCCATTGGAATCAAAATCGTTCTACTGATATCGATGGTTAACCTTATCTTCCGCTTGTGCGAGATCATAGGAGATTTATTACCAAATTTGTTGGGATATGATTTAATCCTTTTGACCTCCTCTAGTTATAGTAGGATTATTCTTACTTGTTAAACCACGTCAGATTTGATTTCATTATCCTTGATAATGAAATCTAATCAATCTTATCGAGGGTAGGGTAGGTTTATATTTTTTCTTATCAATTTTCATGCAAAACCTAATTATGTTTGCATGTGTCATAGGTTTATATTTTTTCTTATCAATTTCCATGCAAAACCTAATTATGTTTGCACGTGTCATAGTTTTATTTTATTTTTATTTTTTTTCTAGAGAGAGAGACAAATAACATGTCAAAAGTTAAATCTTCAAACTTTTACTTTGGAACTTGCCTTAGCATGCAATACCTTCTGGTTTGACAATTACATGAACTCTCAAAAAAAAAAAAAAAAAAAACAAAAAAAAAAAAAAAAAAAATAAGTAGGTGAAGTTTCGCTTTCAAATCACATTCTTGTGTCATAATTAGTGAAACATAGTACTTTTAAAAAATTATTACTATATGTAGATATCTATATATATATATATGAGATAAAAGTAAAGATAATAATAATATATATTTATGATATAGGAGTATTACATTTGATACTTTATCAATATATGGACAAAAGTTTATTAAATACAGTACCTAATAACAAGTCAAAGCATCCAGGCTTGCTATTCTCATTTTATTTAATGAATAAACATAAGTAATCCTACTCGTTTGTAACGTTAGTAATAAATAATGGTGTGTGTATATATATATATATATATATATATATATATTAACATAACGTTATTAACAAAATAGTAAAAAAAAAAAATTTCTTTTTTTAACAAATAACTTCTATAATGTTCATGTTATTCACCAAAAAAAATAATAAAAAATAAAAAAATTCATAATGTTTTTTAAGAGAAAATCCTTGACTTTTTCACTTTTGAAAGGAGATGATCGAATATTTTAATATTATATTTGAAAGTATCAAATTAGAATTTTGAATTTGGAATTAGAGAAAGTTTAATTCAAAATTTAATTAAAATTTCTATAATTTTAATCCAAAACCTTGATCCGTGCTGCGAAACCTAACATAAGTTTTCACTTTTGAAAGGAGATGTACTCTAACTTTTCAATAAGAGAGAAAATACTACTAAATCATAAACTTTGGTGATAAATAATAATTAATGCTTAAATTAACATTAACTTTAATGCTTAGAAAATTTTGACTTTTCTACATTTTCAATTAACATTTTATCTTGAAACATCT